AAGGGCAATTAGAAGAGCAGAAAGAGATATTGAGCAGTGAATTAGGGAGGATATTTTAACACACAATCAGAGCTCCCCGAGACGTATTCAGAGCAGAGAGAAGGTAAAAGAGAAAATTGGCCAATTACGGAATGATAGCGGGGAATTGGTGACATGAGAGAAGGTAATGGCTGATTTGTTAAACAGTTATTTTGATTCTGTTTTCACAAAGGAGGAAGAGGATGGAGGGGCAGCTCCAGAAAGGGCTCGGGCTGTGCGGATGAGGGTGGGGATGAGCCTGCAGAGAGATAAAGCTGCATCTGCAGAGTGGCTGGGCGTGGGGAGGATTTCACCCGTGTTCACAGGGTGGGAGAAAAATTGGATTTACTGAGCAGCTATTTCCAGCAGGGAGCTGGGTAACGAGGGACTTGTGCTGGTCACCAAATCGCTGCCTTTGGGTGGGGACCAGAGAGGTGGCCACTGAGCTGACACATGCCTCTCCCTGCTGAAGGCTGCTTCTCTGGGAAAGGGGAGGACAGAGATGGATGGGCACCCTGGAGGGGTGCTGCTCCTGGGGCTGCTTTTTTGTGGGCAGAGATGTTTGTGGCTCGTCAGCGTGGCACCTTCCCCAAAAACACACACTGCAGAGTGTGAGCACCTGTGTCCTGCTTTCAGAGCTGCTTTTGCTTCCATCTGTAACCCACAAACTCCAACGCAGTCAGGAATACAACAGCATCCCTGGAATCACTGTTCCCACCAGCACTGGTGTCAGTATCTCACGTTTCTCCAAAGCAGGGATGAGCTCAGGGGCTGCTGGATGTGGTAAGAGGGGGCTGGGGGCACAGGGGGCTCATGCCCACCAGCAGGACCTCAAGGAGATAATGATAAAAAGGGAAATAATCTTGGTAATGGGAAATGGGCTCTTGGGAAGTGTTCCTGGGGGAGTGGTTGAAGCTAAGGCAGGGAAAGAATACACAGGCAGGGGATTTAAGGAAGGATAAACTTGAAGGGCTGCAAAAAAAAAGTGTTATTTAGCTGCAAGGAATGTGAAGCAGTGCTTTTTGTTCCGCTCTGTCCCTCTGAAGGGGAGCATGTCAGAAAGCAACTTTCTGAGACAAAGGAAATAGTTTGGAATTGGTGCAGGGGGTGCACAAGCGTGGTCTGGGAAGTGATGGGGAATACAGGAGAAGCTGTGGTCTCGTGGTGTTGGTTTAGGCTGATAAACTAAAAATTTATTCTCAGTATCCAAGAGGTGTTTGGTTTTTCATCCTGCCTGGGAGGATAAAAGAGATGCAGTGTTGCGTGGTTTCTGATTTCAAAGCATGTACGAAAAGCTCCATATTAGCAATTATGGGATGAAACTGTGGAAAAGTGCTACAAAGGAGAGAAAATTGGCTCCGACTCAGGAAACGGGATTCTGCCGCTGGGAGTGAGTTCCCAGAGGCACAGTCTGGGGTCTCCTCTGGGTTCTCTGGTGTTTATTTTTTTTAATGGAAAGGATTTGCATGAGCAGCCCAAAGTCAGAGTGTTAAAGCTCACTGATGGGAGGAAGGGGAAGGCAGCCACAGAGATAGGGACTGATCTCATCTTCCAGAGCAGCGCAGACTGGAGAACACTCAAGGAAAGGCAAATTGATGAGCAAATAAAGGCTCAGGTGATGTTTTTCCCAGGGGGACTGTGTGGAGATCACAGCTGAGCTGTGGGGAGCTACTGGCAGTGTCTGCCCAGGCAACAGGGCCTGTCTGTCCCCACCCCGAGAGGGGATCAGGGCACATCCAAAGGATGAACTTGTGATAGGAGCATGGAAAGGTTCAGAATTTATAGAATCATGGGATAATTTAGGCTGGAAAAGACCCCTGTGGTGGTGAAGTCCAAGAGTTAACCCAGCACGGCCGAGGCCACCAGTAAATCACTTGCCCAAGTGCCACATCCACAGGTCTGTTAAATCCCTCCAGGAATGGGGACCCCAAGCCAGCTGCCCTTGGCCTTCTTGCCCACCTGGGCTCATGTTCAGCCAGTGCTGGCCAGCACCCCCAGGTCCTTTCCCACTGGGCACCTCTCCAGACACTGCCCCAGGCCTGTAGGGGTTGTGTGGGGTTGTTGTGACCAAGTGCAGCACCTGCCTCCTGGCCTTATCCCTCATCCCATTGGCCTCAGCCCATCCTTCCAGCCCAGCATCACCTCCAAGGGGGTTCCCAGCACTTTGAGGATCAGCTCTTTACCCCTCCCAGACACCTTGGGCACCTGGGAGCAACTCTAATGAGATCCCAAGTTTCTCCAACTTATCTGAGTCAGACAATCTCTGGCAGTCAGGGTTATACCTGAGTCTGCTCCACTGGAGAGCTGCAGCAGAGGAGAGGGGATTTCTGCCAGGCCTCAGAGCAGCATTCAAAATGCATGAAGACATGCTGTAGGAAGGAGCTGGGGAAAAGACACACGAGTGTGAACCCAGGGCCGTGGTGAGCTGAACCACGCAGCTGGGAAGTTCATTATCGAGCCCGAGTGTCAGAGCATGCCATAAAAATTTAGTTTATCCTCAAAGAGCTGTGGTCGTGGAAGAAGGATGGGAATGGGGAGGGATGGCAGCTGAGGAGGAGACAGGAGGAATATCAGGAACCTGTGTGTCCTGGTTTGGGCTGGGTTGGTTGATTTTCTTTCTAGGAGCTGTGGTTTGGGTTTGGGATGAGAATAATGTTGGTAACACATGGATTTTGTTGTTACTCAGCAGTGTTTGCCCTGAGTCAAGGACTTTTCTGCTCCTCTGAAGATGCTGCGGGGCACAATAAACTGGGAAGGGACAGCTGATCCCAGCTGGCCAAAGGGATATCCTAAACCAAATGGAATCATGGTCAGTGAATAAACTGAGAGCCTCTGCTGAGGGACTGGCTGGGCATCAGCAGGTGGTGAACAACAGTGTTGTGCATCACTTGGTTTGCATATTCCAATTCTATTGTTGTTATTATTATTTCTCTCATTTCTGTCCTATTAAACCAGCCTTATCTCAAGCCATGAATGTCACTTGTATTTTTCCCAATCCTCTCCCCCATTCCAGCACGGCCCTGTGGTGTTCAGCTGCCTGCCAGGTTAAACCACAACGCCATGTCAAGAGACATCTCCTATTTAGCAGTGTATCATGCCTCCCTTCTGGTTTTTAAACAGTTGCCTTTATCACTAGGAGTTAGAGCACTTGACTGACAAGGCTTGTAATACACCGTGGAGTTGCCTTTATTTTTCCTACATGTTAAAGGAAAAGATACTAAAAATACAATTATGGTTTTGAGCCAGGCGTAGTCTGTTCTAATATAATTCATCTCAAAGACTATCCACCGTGCCTGCTGCACCCAAATCATTTATAAAACATTAGCATCTCTTGTGCTGACATTTCACTCCTATATTACAGGAGTTACACACAGACTTAAAAAAAAATTAATAAAGTGCTTCTCTTCTTCATTCTCCCACTGAGAGCTTTGATTTCCAGAGTATGAAACGAAATAACCAACATAACAACATGCTCCACTTCTGAGGGACAGTGCCAGGCTCATTCAGTTGCTATTGGTTATAGAGAGTAGGACATGAGGGAGCTATTTCAGACCACGGATTATTTGTTCTGGCTGCATTGGACATCCCTTTAGTGGAGCTTTAGAGCCCTGTAGACAGAAAAGTTTGGGTAGGAGCTGGAAGGCAGAGGGCTTGATGAAGTAACCTCTTCCTTCCTCCTCCCAGAATTACTCTTTGCTATTCCCCAAGAAGGGTGTTTAAAAGAGAAGCATCCAAGCCTCTGGCTTTCCTTGCTTGCAAGATGGACAGAGGAGGCCGTGCCCCTCCAGCTTCCCACTCTCAGCATCCAGCTGCTCGTAAACACAAGTGCATCAGGGAGTTTTCTGCTTCTCTTTTCGGTGGGAGTTTCCCTTTCCATTTCCAGATACCTCCAAGGGATCTGCCACTGTGTAAATACCCTCTCCCCTTCCCCAAAGTGGTTGGGAGAGCAGATTTCCCCAGCTGGCCCATCCTTCCTGGAGCTAATTGTGTGTCTGATGGAAAACTGCAGCTGTTTTTTTCAGCATTTCCAGCCCCCCACCTGAGCCACAGGCTCGAAACACCACCACTGAAATATGATTATGGAAAGAACAGAAGCCTTTTCTTGTCCAAGATCACTTTTATTTCCCTTGTTTCATTAACTTCAGTGTCTGTTTGGTCTCACACATCCACGCTGACAGGGAATTCACACCAACTGCAGAATCTGGGCAGCACCTCCCCGAGCCCACGGGCTGCCGTCGGCGGAGCTGCCGGCTCTGCCATGCCCCCGACCAGCAAACACATCCCTCCAGCACATGGTTTAACCCAGGAAGAGGGGAACAGGATGCCCTGCTCCCTCTCCTCCACCTCCCCACAACCCCCTTTGTACAGCTCTCTTGGACCACGGATTTCTCTCTCCTGCCATGGACCAGGAACCTCGGGCACCGCGCTTCTCGCTGGTCCTCTACAAGCTGTAGCTTCCCCCTGCTCTGACTCTTCCAGAATCTGTTCCTTTTAAGAAACAAAACCCCTCCTGACTCTGTCAGGTCTGTCTGCAGCCTGGGAGCAGCTCCTTGCTGCCCCAGTGAAAACCTTAGTCCAGCTATAAAGGTCCTCACGCCACTGCCACGGCTGGGAAGCCTCTCTCTGCCTCCAGCCCCAAAACCAGCCCCTGTCCTCCCCGGGGCCTCGAGTGCTCTCCGGAGACAGAGCCCTATGGCTCTATTTATTTGGGCTAATTAATATTTCTCTCTCTCTCTCCCCCCTGCCAGTTACAAATTAGGATCTAAGGGTGAATTTTGGCTCTCTGGGTATGGACTTTGCTGCATCGCACACAACCACCCCCCAACCCCTCCCAAAGTTTAGTGCTCTGAATTGCTGAGAACATTGGTCCGTTGTGGTTCCCCCGCGTGTACTGAGCCCGCCCGATGGCTTTCAGCATCTGTAGGCACTGCTGCCGGTTTGTTTTCTCAAGGAAAAAAAAAAAATCATATACTGGTCTGCTATAAATTCAATAATACAATCCTTAGTTCTGAAGATACAGTTTCCATATAGTTTATAAACATTGTAAGACATACATATGGATAATTGAGGGGAAGAGGGGGAGCCTGTGCAATTGTTGGGGTGTTTTTCTCAGATGTGGGAACATGGTTACAAAAAACACACCTCCTGCAGGTACCTCATTTCTTTATGTGTTGGGTTTGTTGGGGTTTGGTTTTTTGTTTTGTTTTGTTTTTTTGTTTTTTTTTTTTGTTTAATTCCACCTCTAATCAGTCTTTCCTTTGGTTGTCGGCTACTCCAAGCCCAGCAGGCAAGCCCTGTTCTGCTGTAATGCCTGAGATATTCAGGGGTTTGAGATTGTCTTCTAAGAGATTCCCAGCCAACTTTGGCCTCTGGGTTTGGAGCCAAAAGGGCTAAAACGTGGGAGAACCAAATGTCCTTGTTACATCGGCATCAGTGTCCTTGCACTCACTTTCAGAGAGAAACAGTGTAGGCTTAATCGGTGATGGTCTTTACAGCAATTATGTTCCTTTCGGTAATTGGAGGGGTCGTTCGGAGCGCTCTCAAACGAACGGGATTTCACAAGAGCATGGATACAGTCCATTTGTCTGGGTGCTGTCACCGACGAATTGGTTACCACCCCTGTTATCTGCTTTTTGTAAGGTTGGCTTTTTTGTTGTTATTGTTGTAGGTGCTCGGTTAGGCTGTTTGTGACAAGGTGTGATAATGCCTTTTAATCTGCTCCCGCTGCGCTCGGCACAGTCCGGCCGGGCACGGAGACAACCCTCACAGGAAGCCGAGACAACGTTCTTCCCTTCGCCAGGCCAACGCTGAGCCACGTACAAAAAAACAAGAAGAAAAGAAACTCTGGTCCTTTGTAGATTGGTGGCAGTACAAGCTCCGCTCCGTCCGCGGCCGGGGCTGGGGGGGCTCAGCGGATGACGGCTGCCAACACCACCAGGAAAACCAGGAGCGACGCCCTGAGCCCCGGGCAGCCGGCCGCCTGCTGGACCCCGCTGGGCGGGCGGATGGGCGTCCGCCGGGTGCACTTACCCTTGCGCTTGGGGGACAGCGTGGGCATGGCCCCGAAGCTGTATTTGTGCTGATAATCAGGCACATAGTCCGGGAACTCCTGCCCGTTTTTGCGCGGCCCCAAGGACACCGGTTTGGAGGTTCGGTTGCGGCTTTTGTGGCTGGTGCAGTTCTTGCCGGGTTTGCGGTAGCCCGGCCGGGAGCCCGGCGGGCCGGCGGGCTGGTTGCTGTGCAAACTGTTCTCAGCCCCTCGCTCCTTCCCCTTCTCCTTGGAGGAGTGGTGAGGGTGGTGGGATTTGGAGGCTCCTCTGTCCGCTGTAGAGAAGGTGTGTGTTTTCATCTGGTGGAGCGACTCGGACCCTGAACAGTTCCTAAAGTCTTCTGCTCTTAGCACCTTGAGGTCCTTGCCGTGCATCTGCTCGGGGGACTCGCAGATGACGCTGGAGCTGGAGCCTCGGAACCTGTGCAGCCATTCCCAGAGGGAACGGGCTTTGCAGTCGCAGCTCCACGGGTTCCCATTCAGCCTGAGAAACTCCAGGGCTCCCAGGTGGGCCAGGCAGTCCCCCTGCAGCTCCGAGAGGCTGTTATTGAAGAGGAAAAGGGTGGTCAATCTTCGGAGGTCATGAAAAGCCCGCCTATGAATCCACTGCAGCTGATTTTGATGGATGAGCAGCCGATCCAGGTTTATTAGTCCCCTGAACGTGTTCTGATGGAGGCTCCAGAGCTTGTTTCCATGGAGAAAAAGATGGCTGAGGTTAACCAAGTCAACAAAAATATCATCCTGAAGGAACTCAATGTGGTTGTCTTGCAGGTAAAGGTATTGCAGGTTGTGGAGGCCACCGAAAATCCCGCTGGGGAGAGAGCTCAGCCCACACTTGTACAGATACAAGGCGTGGAGTTTCACCAGCCCTTGGAAAGTGTCTGCAGCTAAAGCCCTTAGGTAGCGGTTGTCCCCCAGGTCCAGCTCTTCCAGGTTGATGAACCCATCGAAGGTGTTGGGGTCGATGAAGGTGATGTTGTTGGAGTAGATCCAGAGGGTGACCATGGAAGGGCTGAAGTGGCCCCGCAGCAGCAAGGTGATCTGGTTGTTCTGGAGGAAGATCCTCTCGCTGTCCTCGGGGATGCCCTCGGGGATGGTGACGAAGTTGTGAGCCTGGCAGCTGACAGTCATCGGGGAGGGGTAGCACACGCAGTCGGTGGGGCAGCCCAGGGCGCCGGGCACCTTCAGCCCCAGCAGCACCAGCAGCAGCTCCGCAAACCCCCCTGTGCGGAGAGAGGGGAGAGCGGCGTCAGCGGGAACCGGGCACCTCCCGCCCACCCATCGCTGCTGTGGAGACTATTCCGGGTGAAAAACGCCCCCAATTAGCTCAGCCCTCCTCTCTGCTCATGAATTACCCACGCGGCTGTGATGAGTAGGCTCATCACCCACGGCAGTTAAAACGTGATGTATGGAGTACTCCCTGCCTCCTCTCCCTGCCTGCAACAGGCGCCTGGTTGTGTTCCCAGCCCGGAACAGGCAGGAGAAACTTTCTCGGTGAGAATTCACGCTGGCAGAGCAGGCAGCAGAGCCCCTTTGCCTGCAGGCAAGGAAATGCCGCGGTGTGAGAGCAAACAGGGGGAATTCAAACCCTCGCAGGTGTCCCCACTCCTCTTGAAATGCATCTGTTAAATCGCCTGCACATATCGGAGAGGAAAAGCTGCAGAGATTCAGCAATTCTCAGCAAACCACCTAAAATTACATGTGTGCAGTGCATCCCACTCCCCCCAAATGCACAGACCCATCCCCACCGTCTCCTTTCACTACAGTTGTTAGACACCACCATCCACCCCGAAACCCGAGTGATTTACAGGGAAATATGTTGTCAGCAGTTGGTGGAAAAGGCTGAGCCGAAAACTCCGTTTGGAAGTGGGATGCTCAGACATATTTTTAAATGGATGTCCTGTGGCAAAGCATATTGCATCCTCTAATGCTACAGAATGTGCCTGTGACTGGGGCTTTCTCGCAGCAGAGAAGCAGAGAACGAGGCAGAACCGTCCCCTCCCTCTGCTCAGCTCCTCAGAGCTCAGGTTTTGCCGCCCCGCTCCCGTCTCGCTCCCACTCCTCGCACCAGGCTTGCTTTCAGGCTATTCCTTCTGCGCCGAGTGGCTTTTCAGACTCATTGCACCAGACTTGTCATTTCTCATTCAGATTTTCCTCCTAGATTTGGCTTTTTCCTCTTACACGCAAAATTTGCTCATGTCTAATGAATTCTGCCTCTGGACTTTGCAGGGAAAAGGAGTAACAGCGGAGCAGCGCACAGCTGCCAGTGCCATCCTGCCCACGAGTCCTACCCAGCTTGTACTAATCTGAAAAACGAGAGTGGAAGTGGAGTTCATCTCTAATTACTTCACGTCGTTATCACCAGCTAGTCCAAGAGCCGGGACCCCTTGGGCTTTTACAGTCCCTCTTTTCAGTGCCTACAGCCTAATACGAGTTGGAGGCACAAAAACCTCACTGTTTTCTTATTAATTGTGTTTGAAATATAACTGCGTGGTTGCTGTTGCCTTTTCCCTGGTATGGAGATCTATTGCCGTTAACAGCAGGTGACCCGTCCGTCTAAACCCATCCTTTCAAGGCAAAGTTGCCACATATTTTAGATAAACTGGGTTATTCAGACTCTCCATAAATCACCAGTAAGAGCCAGTCATCCCTGACTGGGCGGTTAATAGGGAAAAAAATAGCATCGCTGCCCAAAGCATGGGATGGAGCCTTGCCTGGGGATGGGAATGAGGGGGATGACTTCCAGGCACTGCCCTTCAGAAACGAAGCACGGGCTACCAGGAGGGATGTCTCATCCCTGCGCCACTGCCAAAAAGGGCTGGTGAGTCGGGAACGCTGAATTCGCGACAACTCCTACGGCTGTGTAGGAAAAGGAACATTCTCCAAGTCACTGCCGTAGCATTTTGGCTTTGCTGTCGTGCCTCTGCACGATGAGAGAGGGGCTGTGCTGGTGGGAGCGTCGTGCTGACTACCCAGAGCTCCCTGCCAAAACGGGAGCCCTGGCTGCCGCTCACAGCCTGGGAAACAGCGGTGTCCTGAGGATATTGTGATTATCCTCCGATGGGAGGGAGATAAAGCAGTGTTTGCAGATATGTTCTGCTGGGCTTTTCAACTCGAGGATGTGCTCCACCAAGGTGGGACGGCTCCGCATCCCCCGTCGTACCTCGGTGACACCGGAGCACGGTGCCTTCCGTAGGTCTGATGTTTATTAGTAAAACCCTGCCAGGCACAAGTGCTGTGACGATCTCCCACATGCAGAGTCTGTTATTGCAAATACCAAATCACAAGGGTCTGAATCAATAAACCATCTCCCAGCTACACGCAGCAGGTTGGAAGATTACATATTGCTTCCAAACAACAGTTTTATGCGCTCTTCCGTGACACAACAGTTGCCAGGCTAACGGGATTACTGACGGGAGGTGGAGCTGGGCAGGGATCTGGGAGCATACAGGATTTCACGTGTAGGGATGGTGATGACAGGAGGCTGTTAGCAATGCATGGTGATGGACCAAGGCAGCCCAGGCCTCCCTGGAGCATGGCCAAGGTAGAGGTTCCTGCAGAAAGGGAACGCAGCGTTTAACAGCTCGCTGCCTGCGGGGATAACTCCGGAGGTAAAGGTCAGAGGGAACTGAGTTCATCTCTTTAATTAACAGGCAGCTCTGAGTTAATGGCTGGAGCTCCTGTGGAGAGAGAGAGATGGGATTCCTGCAGCCAGGGATGGTGGTGAGGATAGGCTGGGGCTGTTACTGGTTCTCAGCTTCCCAAGAATGGGATGGTGGGAAGAAAAGACAGGGATGTCTTTCTCCCTATTGCAGCTTGGGAGTGAGGAGAACGGGGAAACAGAAGGATGGATACTTAGGAAAAAAGGGTGAACGGGATTTGGATAGAGAGTAGGTTTACATTAGGTAGAATGAAGGAATTTTCCTTGCCAGGGTGGTGAGGCCCTGGCACAGGCTGCCCAGAAAAACTATGGTTGCCCCATCTCTGGAGGTGTCCAAGGCCAGGCTGGATGGGGCCTGGAGCAACTTGGTCCTAGTGAAAGGTGTCCCTGCCCTAGACGTTCTTCGAGGTCCCCTCCAAACCAAAGCAATCTGGATTCCATGAAGGTCTGGACTCCCCAGTGGATGCACACAAGGCCTGTGGTCTCATCAAGGAGGCCTTCCTTCCAAGCTTGTAAAACCTGCTGACTGCTTAGTGCTGTGAGAAGCTGCTCCTGGCATGCTCTGGGACTGGTCCCAGTTTAGATCTGGGGATGAGATCCCCAAAAAGCAAAGAGGTTATGGAGCTATGAAGTTCCTGAGGCTGGTAACACCAGCTCTGGGGTACCCAGCAGCCAAATTCCACTGAGGCATGACAGCCAGGAGCACTTGGGTCTCACTGGGCTTCCCAGACTGGAAAACACCATGGGAGCCCCCTGAGAGGCCCCAGCCCAGCTCTCCTGACAGTTTGACCCTGTCTAACTTGTTATTCCTGACTCAGCCCTTTCAACTTCACCTTGTAAAGGTTGTGAGGCACATGGAGGGTCACCAACCCATGTCAGAGCTCACCAGGGAGGGAGAGCTTCAAAAGCAGCACAGAAAAATCCTCCAGAAACCTGCTGGTGAAGTGAGTAAAACCAAATCCCTGCTGACATGGATAAAACCAGCAAAGGGGTGTTTATCTCCTGCCTTTCTCCCACTGACGTGCTGTGTCACCCCGGCCTCTGCTCGCCGAGTCCTTCTGCTGCCTCCTGCTTCTGACTGAGGTTTCAGTGATTGGAATGAATTCGTCTGACTGTCCAAACCATTTCCCATGTAACATCCCTCTAATTGGGCATTAATTAGGCATCAGTTAATGAATGCTTGAAATAATTTATCTTTGGATGCGTCCAGTTTGCAGTCTTACTTTTAACAGCATTAGACTCATTATTAGATTAACATCTTTATAAATGTTCTCCATTACCTGCTTGTTTCCATTGTCTTAGCCTTATTACTGAGAGTGAAAATCACTCCTCCCACATGCATTATTGATGAGTAAGGACTTTCTATATGTAGCACGGGATTAATTGTTATACAGTGTAATGCATTTAGCGTGAAGCCTCAATTTGTGCAGAAGCTGAAGGCAGCCAGAAGAATGCAGACACCCGGAGCCAGCATGATCAGCCAGACACTGCACATCTCTCTCCAGCCCAGACCAGGTTCCTCCCAGGCCGGTGCCAGCACAGGAAGAAATTTGAAAAAAAAAACCCCAACAAAAAACCCTGGTTTGATACCCAGGATCAAAGACAGATGGTTTGAAGGGTTGCAGCACTTCTCTGCCACCACGGCAGGGACTCTTGACTCTGCAGTGCCACTTGCTCCAGAGAGCCAGGTGTACCTGCCCCAGCAGTTTTCTTGCTTTTTAAGGTTTAGAACACTTTACTGTACCTCTGAGCCAGGCAGGGACTCAGTTTCTTTAGAACATGATGCCACTTACTTTCATTAGGAGGCTCAGACTCGAGGCCAAGACATCACTTAGGACAAGGATGGGTTTGTCCCTGGGGGGGATACACCTGCAGGACAACCCCAAAAGGCAGCCCTGCCACAAACCCCAGCACCCCCTCTTCTCTCTGATATTTTCACCTCTCCACCCGGACAAGCTTATGTGGGTCAGAGCCTGTCTAATTCTCCAGCAGGAGAATCCGCTCTCGAGGATGGAGCAGGTTGCTTCTCTTCCAAATCTCTCCTAAACCCACCATCTGCTTTGGGAGACCCATCTTAGCTCATGTCTACATGCAACTTGACTGCCTGCTTACTGTGTCCATTACCAGGGCTGCTCAAGCTGTTAGATTTATAAGCTCTTTAGAGCAAAGCCCTCGTCTTCTGGTTGCTGATTTATGTATCTTTGCTGCCATAAAACACTATGTATAGCTACTACATAATATAAATAATAATACTTAACCAGAGTGCGCTACAAGTGGGGACAAAGCATCTGCTCACAGGCGGGATTATCAAAAAGGGAGAAGCTTCCTCATCACTCACCCTCTTTTGAGGCCAAACTCACACCTGCTCTAACACCAGCACCTCACTGAGCTCTACACAGAGATTTTCCTCTCCTGTTCCCACCCTGGATCTATCAAAGGATTTTTCAAAATCCACCCCTAACAAGCTGGTGCACAAAGACATGACTGCAGCCCCTGGGGGGAAAGTACACTTTGAAACTTGGGAACGACCTCAGAATTGGATGTTCACATGGAGAGAAACTGTTGTTTAGGGAGAAAAAGCAGCCTCAAACGCTCACAATTTCATCAGCTAAGTGAAGGACGATGAAAGGCAAGG